ATTTAAAAAAAAAGAAAGTGCATTAGCTTTTTTAGGGAGTTTTAAGCCTTTTTCATTCTGAGGGAAATTACATTGTCATCTCAACTTCATTCTGTCACTTCTGAAGTCACAGGTTTTGGTTGATTGCAGTCCATTTGGAAGAATATTTGACAGATTCTACTTATCAAGTCAGTTAACAGGAAGCATTAATAGGTCAGGACCACTTCCATGAACTCTGAAAATATGAAATCAAGACATTTGGTTATTAAACTTTTTTGGGGGATTGTTGTAACACACATTGGTAACATGATTGAGATCAAAACATACTACTACTGCTTTGAAGATCTGGATATATTTAAAGGCAGGTTGTAAAATGATTGTGTTGATACCTGTGGTATTGTTACACGGCTGGATAAGGTTGACCTTGAGTGCTGTTGTCATGTCTGTGTGAGAAATCTCAGAAAATAGAGTCAAGCAATAGCTGTTTCTCACAGGATGTGAGAGGCTCTGCATAAGAAAAGTGACCCCATTTGCACAATGTGCTTGGGTTCATTATTAAAAAGCTGGTTGTTGGCTCTGATGCCTGTAGTGTGTTGACAACACTCCTGCCCAATGCCTAGTGAAACAGAAGACCGGATAGCTAAATGAGAGTCTTTGTTGTCCTAGTAGCAGCTGTGGAATACATTTTGGGTTTTGACATCATTGTTATGATATGAAAAATATGATATGGTAAATATGGCATTTTTTTCTAAATGCATACCTCAATAGGTCATTCACACTCTTGCTAACTTGAAGGTAGAATATGGAGCCAGTAAAGACTGTGGTATCTGTGTATTTAGAGCAGTCTCTTGCTATGAACTTGTGACACCAGTGCTTCTCCTGGCTGATGGGTGGCTATTCTTGCTGCTGTGTTGTTAATGTTCAGACGAAGCCTACCACGTTCACTTATGGAGTCTAAATTAACATGTTCGGTGGCTGAAAGGGAACACTTGATCTGAATAGTATTCAATCCCTCTCTCATTAGGGTCTTTGTTTTTCCTTCATTTTCTTCCCCATCATTTAATCAGATTGTAGCAGGAAAATAACTATTGTCTACCCAGCATTTGCAGATTAAGAACTATATAAGGATCTTTCAACAGCCTGGTAGGCGAAAATGACCGTTTTGTCTTCTAAAATTTTGGAGCCGTTTTAATATACTAATCTTAATTTACTAAATATATCTATTTTTGGTCTCTAATTGCATCCGGCCAACTTCATGCCACTGTGTTGTCACTGAGATTTGCTCTACCTGATTGAGGTGCTTGGTCAGAGACCCATGAGCTGATAATGGGATCAATGAGCTTTTCTAGAATAAGTTGTTATTTCCAGTTCTGTTCGTGGGGCTGAAAAATGCTGCTTCAAGCCTTTGGGCTTCTGCAAATTTGGAGTTAATTTACAAGAATGATGATTTAAACATTGACAAATACAGCTACTCTTGGAATATAGAACTAGTTTAATTTCAAGCTCAAACATTTTTGCACTGTTTGGTTTTGCTTTTAATTCCTTTGACCTAACCTTGCCAGAATAATCTCTCTTCCTATCTTATTTACCCAGTTTCCAATAATGACCTCGCCCAAGGTTTACCACAATAGTTAGTAATTAGCTTTCTGAGATAACCGCTTAAATTCTAGAGCTACGCATTATGCCCCATCTTTTGCTCTTTTGATGTACTATGTAACATGACAGGATCTAGATGTCAGCAGGTCTAACATTTGATTCACATTAATATAATTACCTGCAGTGCTTGGACAAACAAAACCGAAACTCTTTCATCCTCAGATCAGAGACTTTTCCCCATCTTTGAAGATAAGACTCTAGGTTGGCTTTTGAAACTGCCCACTTAAAGTGGCTTTGTCTGAGTTTACGTAACAGACTTTTGCAACGGTACATTTTAATCAGTTTGGAGTTGCCTCAGTCACACCAAGTGTGCACAGATAATGAGCAGAATTTGAAAAATACACTCTCCAGCGAGGAGCCATGTAGTTGATCAGGTGACAGCAGTCTTGCTTGTGTCCCGTGTCCTTCTCTAGCAGGAGGTCCCACTGATTGGCGTTTTGTGACGTCCAAGCCACATCTCTGATTACTAAGGTGGTTCCAGCTCTGCCTAAAACACACGTGAAAAGCTGCGGTCCCGCTGCCTCCTGTCTGCGCTGTCATTCATGCTTATCTACTATTTCCGCAGCTCCTGGTTACACCTATGCTGACTTCACTTCACATTTTCTTGTTTCAGTGTAAAATTTGACAAGGCTGTACCTTATCACCGTTGTTCCTTTCCCTCCTCTAGAAAGCAACGACACTAACTGTCATTCATCCTGAATGAGGAAAGCTGCTGTGTTTAGAGCTTTCTGTGATAATTTAAAGCTATTGCCTTTGAATAAAATGCAGTGTACAGCAAAATTTTGTTTTTTTGGGGGGCTGGAGAGGGGAGATGCGTTTCAGGTCCTAACTGTCGAGTGTCCTCCCCCTCTGGACAGTGACCAGCCTAGAATAGACTTTTGAGCAGATGGCACCTGTCAAATATCTGTTGATATTTGGAAGGTGTTTAGAAACTGTGGGTGATCTTAGGGCAGTAACAACCATCTTTTTTCAGGCTCTTTTGTTGTTTTTGGAAAGATTATTACATCAAGCTTCCACCAAGATGAAGGTATACAGAACTGTGGTTTATGTCAATTTTTGTTGTGTGATAGCAAAAAGCTTGACTTAAAATTAGCTGATTTTGCAATGTAATAGTCATTATCACCATTTAAAATCTCTTGGCCCTTCGTATGCCTTGGGTTGCTTCTTGATGTGAAGTTGCAAAGGAGTTATGTGAACGTAATGTTTGTAAAATGCTTTGAAGATGAAAAGCTCTACAGTAGGTTTTTATTATTACCAGAGGCAAAGTGAGCGGCAGTGGCTTAACGTTGGACTGTTCATTTCCCAAGAGATGGCTTTGTTTTGAAGAGTGCACATTATCAGTTGGGTTGGAGACAAAATTATCTTATTTCAATCCTGAATATAAATAAATAGGCAAACTTTCTACCTTGAGATTGTTTGCATGAGATATTTGTAAAAGAGCAGAGCAGTTATGGTACTATGGCTCTGTTCTTAGCTTGCATTTAATAGAACATTTATTCGACGTATTTGGCTTCTACTATCCAAAGGTATTTTGAATCAAATCCAATCCATTCAAACATCTTTACATATATATCGAGAGAGAGCAGTGTTCTTATATCTATATATCATATAGATATATATGAGATATTTGAGAAATATATATATTTGAGATATGTATTGCTTCTAGAGATAAAATCAGATTCAGCATGTAAATAAAAAAGTGGTCTGCATTCAGAAACGGTGACATTTTATTAGAGTTTGGTTCATAGACATTTTTTCACATGTTCAACCTACCACATATAAAAGAACTGGCTTTTTTTTAATAGTGCTTTAAACATTTCTTGAATCATTTTTATTTCCAGCCTGTATCTACATCATAAACTGATAGGTGGTTGAACAAGGACCAAAAAAAAAAAAAAAGTGAGCTGTTTGGCAATTCTCAAGCTACTACTGTTTCCTTGTGAGTTAGAGGAGAAGGGAGGGAGCTGCATCGTTCAAATGGAAATTCAACTTCAGCTTGCTGAGTGGGGGACTGCTTCAGGGACACCGATGTCCTCACGTGGTTCGTTGTCTCCCTTGCCCTTGCAGCGGGTCATCGCTTCCACCCAGCAGCCTTGTTTTGACAGAGCTGTTTTGTGGTGTCAGCACAGGGCACCTTTGGGGAGCTGGCGCTGCTGCAGCCGGGGATTTCTGAAGCAGCTATTGTCGGTGGAGGGGCCGCTGGGCCACGGCCAGGCACGAGGCACTGCATCCCTGAGGCCTTGAGCGGGCCGCCTCGCTCGGTGCAGCTGCAAAAGCTTTGGGCTCCTGCCTGACACTCGCAGAAATCGTTGTGGAATTTGCTGATTCTGCCAGACGCGAACTAAACACTTGTTCCCAAGTGGTGTGTCCCATCAGTACAGCTGTTGGTTATGAAAAACATGCAAGGGCTTTCATCCGTAATAATAAAGCTTTGTTGAAGTATTGCAAGCTCAAAATATTCTGAGTAATCAAACAGTACCTCCTTGCTTAGCCTATAGGGAGCTTTATGCCCCTATGCTTCAGTTAAAACGTTCATTTATTGTCATCAGTTATGTCAGAGGTGGGGAGGGAGGGGGGCTAAATTTTCCCTCCGTACTGTCAGTAAGGATTAACTGACACTGCCGGTTAGTGCTTTCAAAATATTCTGACCTATTTACACAACAAAACTGATCAGAACAAAATAAACAGTTCTGTATTGCTGTATTGTGGCAGCTATATTTGGCAGTGGATTTTCTCATCATTTTTCCAATGTAGACAAAACTTGAACGCTACAGGAATCTTAAGCATTACAAGCAGATAATACCCTTACTGAAGAGCTTGATTCTCCTGTTGCCTTTTGGGGAAAGGGGACAGTTTGGCCGTAATTCAGTTGGAACAAATGCTTGTGAAGCAACTGACAAAAAAGTGTATGAGTAAATTTATCATTTTGCCGTGCAGGGTAATAAATAATTGCATCATTTCCAGCAAGCCGCAGTATATACCTGCGAGATGGTGGATCTCTCTCCAAGGTGTAATCTCTACAAAGGAGCATTAAATAGGGAATTGTGACAGACTGTAAGAATTGTTGGTTTCCTGCTTGGGTTTTGTTTTTTATTTTGTAACAACCATAGCAGATGCTTGCAATTACCTCCTCATTTTTATGTTGTATCCCCTAAGGAATGAATCGAGAGAAATGTTTCATTTTAGCTATTTGGACAACCATTCCATATTTCCTGGGTCACAGACTTTTTGGTAGTTTGGAGGATAAAATTGCCTGACACTCAAGATAGGAAATATCTCTTTCTATCTTGCATCTTCAACTCGGATTCTGAGGATACTAAAATTAAGCCTTTTTAAACTTGTCTTTTTTTCCCAATTCCATTTAGCGATAGTCCTAATGCTGTCCATGAGGTGGAAAAGTGGTTACCACGACTGCACTCAGTTGTCATAGGACCTGGCTTAGGTAGAGATGAAGTTCTACTTGAGAACGCTAAGGTAATGTGTATACTGATACTGTATTCTGTGTCTTTATGTTGTATTTTATTAACCAATTTCCTATCTTTTATGTGATTACACAAATGTTTTTGATAGGGTTACTAAACAACAAATTTAATAAAATACTGCTGACTAAAATTACAGTTGTTAGTCATGGTCTTCATTATTAAACTGTAAGCATCACTCTGAATTTTGGGCACCCATATGGTTGTTTTGATTTGCTTTTGTTTTGATTGTGAAAGTTGCTAATTCAGAAATAGATGTTGGCATCTCTAGATAAAGGGCTCTGTGTTTTCTTAGGTGTAAAGCACCTGTACTGTAAGAACATAAATAGGAAGTTGAGTTCCTAATTTTCAGAACCGTATTTGACAACTTGTATCAGGAGAGGTACCAAAGAACAGGGACTGTGTCCCCTTGCAATAAGAAATGATACTCTTAATTATAAAATGTTGCAGATTTCTACTCTGGATAAAGAGGTAATCCTATTTTCTGTCAAGCCTTAGTGGAGAGCTGAAAACAGGAGCTTAGATAGTTCTGTACTCTAAATAATATGTACTTACACCGTCTTCCAGATGATGTCTTATATTATTGTCAACACATCTATGTATGTTTATATCTTTCAGTCTAATGTCAGTCTAATTTTGTACAGTTTTAATTTTTTTTTCCTGAGAAGTATTACTGAATTAATAGTGGTACTAACAAGTGGAATTAATAAAATTTACAGAAATGTTGACAATTACACAGTGAAATTGCAATACGGGGGAGGCAAGAGACTGGAGACCACACTATCCAAGTAGTTTAGAATACCTTGAGAGCTATGGAGGGTGGTTTTGCTAGGCTTTTGTTAGAGAAAGTTGCTGTTGGAGCTCTTTACTTCTTTAATTCTCCTTCTGCTTCCAAAAAATGTTTGTTTTGTGACACAGAGGTACAAAACTAATAAAGGGCATGGATTCAGAAAGAAAGAAAAAAGAAATTTATTACAGCTGATCAAGAAATCCTATTCTGAATGAATATTCTTTTTTGAAAACATTTTTTCAGAATTCTTTTTACAGAAAAAATTTTGGGCAATGATTTTTCTCTTTTTCTTTGTTTTTAAAAAATTTTTAAGTTTTTTTCTAAAGGAAAACAACTTTAAACAAAAGAAAATAAGAATTCATTTAGGATATCTAACATAAGCTTCTTTTATATCAGAATTACATCTGGGTTTTATAAATACCTGTCCATGTGCTTATCTGTATTAGAGAAGTATCTGGAAGATTCCTTGATTGTATTTTTGTTTTTTTCATCATTGCTGAAAATAATTTTGCTTTCTTAGTGAATTACAAGCATACTTTTACTTCAGCCTGGCTGTCCTGTGTGAGCTAGCTTAAAGTTAAAGAAACAAACCCAGCCAATGAAGACAAGGCGTTTGGAAGTTCCTTCATGCTGAAATCTCAGGCCACGTTCATATGAGCTGTGGATCTGACCTTATTAATTTCAAGTCACATTAAAGCTCAAGTTCTTTGTCTTCACTGTAATTATGTAAGTGTTCATTAGTTACCCAGTGTTGTTTTTTTAACATGTAATTGGGGACAAGTGAACCCTGGTTGCCTGCCTGAGGAAGAGTGGTGCTTCTCTGTGTTGAGGAAAGGCTGAGTCTCCCTCTTGCTTCAGCATCGAATTTTAAGCTTTGTATCACTCTTCACCTTCAAGAAAAAAAGCAAGTGATGATAGCGTTGCTATTTTAAACTTTTATAGGAGGCTGGCTTGGTATATAGTTTTCTGTTTTCCCTTTAAGCTAACCTCAGCATGCTGTCGTATGAATACAGGGCTGAGATGTAGATTAGTGTCTGCTTTCTGGTCATGGTTTTGTATCGGAGTGGCAGTGATGATGGGAGAGCTTCCCCTCTTCCTCCTCTGCCCCATTAAAGTGCTGAGGCATAGTGGTCTGTCACTTCTCTGATGCTGTTCTTATGCCAGTTCTTGTCAGTATTGTGCCAGCACATAGCCAATAAATGTGCTTGTCCAAACAGTCCTCTGTTTGGGCTGCTTCCCTCTTCTGAGCGTTGAGAAATTAAGATACTGATGCAGTAACCTGCAATTTCTGGTATACGGCCTATGGACAGTGTTTCATTGTGGAATAGCCCGAGTACTTGTTGACCGGATGGTGCATCTTCTCTCTCCATACCAGAGAACACTTTGCTTCCTCAGCATCTTTACTATATTGCCTGCCTCCCTCATGCTTAATGCCTGCAGTGTGTATACTGTGGCATTTCAGCTCCTTTCAACAGTCTGATGGAAAAGAAACACCTTGTGATCAGTTTCCTTTGATTTTTTCTCTTTTTTTTAATTTTATTTTTATTGAGAGCGTAGTGATACTCTTTGAATACATACTTACTGGCTTCCTGTAATTGCCTGGTTTTTGGTTGTAATTCCATTTGCAAGTCCTGTTACAAGAAGCCACTCTAAAAGTTATATCCCTCTCCTATGCCACTTGTGTGGGTCTGTGCCAAAACCCTAACATGCTGTTCCTCCGTTGCCTGGGTGAGGGCTGATGCTCTGTCAGAGCTTTCTAGTCACGGGTTTGCAGGAGCTGCAGCTTCAGAAAAATCTCTTAAAGAAAGCATTTGTTGTCTCCTAATAGCTGTGCAGCTGGATCCCATGCAGATGTGGCAATCGTAGTCTTGGACGGGTTAGACCCTCCAACTCTGGAGCAAATAAGCAGTCCAGGCTATTTCTCCTCAAGGGGAAGGAACAAAAACCCGTTTCTGCTCCACTTCTCAGCTCTGGAGTATGCAGGTTGAAGTGTCTCTGCTCCCCATTCTACTTCAGTCTTCCAAAATGCTGTTGCCACATTGGGTGTGGAGCTTGGAGACCACAGCCAGCTTCCTTATAGGCAACACCAGGCCATCTGTTCTTCCCTTTCAGTGTCCATGATTGATTCTGGCCAGAATCAATGTACCAGTATTCAATGTACCAGTATTACAATGTAACAGTACCGTTACCTCCCCAAGTTCACCACAGTGGGTATGCAGCTGGTGGTGGTTTAGACTCAGTTGAGAAAGAGTTCAGCTGCCACACAGAAGCAAGGCCAAGGTCCCTATAACTGTTCTCTGTCAGTGCTTAGAGGCAGCGTATTTCCAAAGCTATTGGCTGTTCTCCTTTTTTACACAGCAGAATATTATGTCTCTGTCATATCCTCCCACCACAGCGTTCTTCATTCAGCTGTTTCAGGGATGTTTGTATTTCTGGTCTTACTCTGATCTGATTTTTCTTGTAGCCTGAGGCTTGGAAGTAGGAATTCCCACCTGTACCATCAAGAGCTGTTCCTTAGGTCTGTGAGAGAACCAAGTTCCTCTCCTGCAGGATGATGAGTGCAGCTCCTGAGAGGACTTTGGAAAGAAAACTGTATTCCTTGCATAGCCCTCTGGGAGAAGAGACGATGCTGTCTAATGCTCCAGGATGTTCTGCATTCTGCTGCTGCCCAGCAGTTAGGCAGTTACAGGCTTAGCTATGACCTTTATCAGTTTCCAGCCTCTTGTCATCTCCTTTCTCCTATTCCTTCTGGCACGAATGTGATGTTCCTGTCAAATTTTCTGCTGCTGAGTTTGGTGAATCTTTAACGGGTACGTTACTGGCTTTGTGGTCAAATGGACTGATACAGAATTGTTGGTGGAATAGTAGTTACTGTCAGGATCGGGTAGAGAAAAGCATTCATCCTTATGAAGAGCCCTATCTTTAACTGAAGTAGGACTTTGACATTGGAATCGTCTTTGCTTGTCACTGGATTCCTTGCCTCTCTCCCTGCCGTGGTAGCACCGAATCCTGGACTCTGCCACTCCAGTCTTGCTGTGTTCGGTTTTGCAGCAGGAAAGTTAGATTGCTGTTTTCAGCAGAGCACGCTTGCTTCCCTCCTGTAAGAGAGGTAATGATTAATAGCAAGATGGCTCTATGTAATGCAGAGTACATTGTAAAATCGACTGGGTTCTCAAACTGCATACTTGTTCCTCTTGCTCAATTCTCAGTCTTTGTTTTAGCTCCAAGAAAATGTCCTGTACACCAGCCTGGGTTCTTTTGGCTGAGGCCCTGCCTAGCTGCCATTTCTGTCCATTGCTCTTGCTTTTTCTCTCCCTTCAACCCCCTCACCCTGCAAACACTACCCTCGGCCAGTCATTTGCCCTTAAAGATCTCTGCTATCTGTTGAGATATAAATTTCAGAAATCACATTTTCCACCCCTAGTGACATCATCTTAAGGTTGCATGGAAATGTCTTGGCTGTAGTTAACATCTAGCAAAGCATGGAAGAGGTTTGGGCCATTGTCGTGGATCACCTCCATCGAGTGTGCTCAGAGACAGCCCATTTGAAGTGTTCTCTTTCAGATGGATTCTCAGTTCCACCTCAACTGAGGTATCAACCTTGCTGTGTTTCTTTTTGGTTAGATGGATTAATTTCCCCCCTTCAAGCCTCATGCCTTCAGGATTTAGGCAACACTTCACAGCCTTAATAAATTGTGAGAACGGGACCAGGTGCTTCAGTACACTATCTACACTAGTTTTTGCAAGCTCAAAAGGGCTACAGAATACAGAGCCATCTTTTGTTGTCATAGCAGTCCATTAAAGCTAAAACTGCCACTGTGAGCCTTGAGAAGCATTTTTCTCTTGATATCTGAGCAGCCCCCCGGGTTCTGTTTGTACCAAGTATAAGACACCTGAGAAGCATCCCAGGCTAATGCTGCAGTTGACAGATGAAGTAGTATTGGCTGTGGTACCTACAACCGTGTATGAATATGAACAACAGGATGTGTTAACTCTTTGGAATCACTGCTCATGTCAACTCAAGTTAGCAGAAGAATTATTTACCAGTAACTTGATTCTTCAATGTGTGTCATGTGCATTTGTTTCCTGCCCTGCTTATGCCCTCTGGAAGGTCCTCTGGAGGTTCTTGCTGTGGGCATTCAGCAGTTCATAGGGAACTGAAGTAGCAGCAAGGACATGCCACTTTCTGTTCTCAGCCTTCAGTT